GTTTTCGAAACCATGGGCAGTCGGATCGAGGAGTCAGGCATGGTCAGAAAAGGACCAGCTTTGGTGCGGACAACCCACCGTTTGGTGAATCGGTGTGCCCCTTTGCCCACGGCCCGAAACAAGACAACACTCTTTTCAAGGTTGATGGAGAAGCCATACATGCGAAAGATTCGAAGAATGTGGTCCAGGTCTGAAAGGGCAGTGAGGCCATCGGCCAGCTGACTAGTGCGCCATCGCAAGTGCACGTCGTCCGCATAAATTATGACATGTTCGTGAATCCATTGGTACGAGTATCGAGCCGCCAGATCGGTGAGCACCAAATGCATACAAAGTGTCCAAAGGATCGGACCGTCTTTTGATCCCTGCCGAATCCCTCGAGTGGCCAAAATCTCACCCACTAACTTTTTATGTGGTATATAGTATTTGTGGGGGGACAACAGTGTGTGAATCATGGTCTGGAGATCCTGGGGCAGTTGCAAGCCGAGAATGGCAAGGCTCACCGTGTTGCGGCTGACCGAATCAAAGGCCTTATTCATGTCTAACGAAACTTGCAAGCCGCCAAACATGCCAGCCCTTGAATTATCCTGGCTGTATATGTGACAGTCGTCGCGAACCTGTTTGCAATGATGTGACACTCGAAGCAAACAATCAGCAGTACTCCTATTGGGGAGATAAGCATACAAAGGAAAGCAACGAAATTTGTCGATGGTGTATTGCAACAGTTGAGTGGTGACAAAACTCGAAGCAACTTTACAGACAGGGTGTTGAAGGCATATCGGCCGAAGTGCTTGCGGTTTCGTGCTGGGCTTTCCCGGTTTGGGAATGAGATGCAGCCATCCAGCCGTCCATTCATCAGGAGCTTGTGGGGGGGGAAGCGCTCCACCAGTGAGCCAAGGCGCGATATGTCGAACCAGCAAGTTCAGTGGCTAAAACTTTCCAAACAATGGCTGGGAGACATGGTGGAGCCACGGCTTTGGAGGCAGGCAGGCGCTGTAAGGCTGCATGCACGGTGCTCTCATCGAATGGCAAGACCTGAAGTGCGGGCAGGGCCGTGGGTTGAAAGTCTGGATCATGAAATTGAGTCCCAAAGTATTGAACCAGTTCACTAAGCTCTTGTGGGGGGCTCAATGGTTGTCCATGACCATCAAACATGTGAATTCGCTGGTACCGTTGCTTGGGGCAGAGCGTGCGGATTCGGCGAAAGAAGTCGAATGATTGGTGCTTCATGGCCAAGTCAGCACCTTCCCGGAGGAAGTTTTCGAGTTTGGTCCGTTTATTGATCCGACTATACTTTCTGATTTGTTTATGCAAAGTACGATAACGAGTCAAGTTGCACCAACCCTGAAACACGGACTTGAGACAACAATTCGGCAAGGCCAGGACAGCCTTCCGGGCTAGCCACATCTGGGCACTGAGTGATCGAAAGACAGGATCCACCTGGGTCTGTCGTTTGACCGACGGGAAACATTGCTTACACAATTGGACAAGACTTCGTTCCAATGCCAGATTACTATCGATCGGTGATGACTGAGTTGTTGTGGTAGCAATGGCCTGTCGTGCCTGGGTCAGGAAGGTGTCCCATTGCGGAGTGTGCTGAGTCCAGGCCTGTCGAAGGCGGAACCGGTTGATGCCTTCATGGTGTTTGGGATTGGGAGTTGGGTACCATTTGGACAAATGGAAGCTCAATGGATAGTGGCGTGGGCCTTGATTGCCAAACAAAAAGTCGAAGTCAGGGTGATGCTTCGGTTGCATTCGGCTCCAGGAAATCTGGTCCTTGCGCATCAACACGAAATCGATTCGAATATTATGATTACCATGCACGAACGTGGGATGGAATACCCTAGTGTGAATAGCTGCCATGCGGTTATCCTGAACTAGTGCGCGAAACTGGTCCCGATCAGTTTGAGCAGCTTTGGCATACTTGGGATCCTTGGTGAAAATATGCTGACCATCGAAATCAAGAGGTGTGTTATAGTCACCGCCTAATACCAGAAGATTCCGTGTTGGGGTATGGTTAATGCAATTACGAAGGCAATCCCAAACTCGTTGGCGTTTGTTCAACAATTGCGAAACGTTCCCGCCTGAGTTCCATGCATGTTGATAGATGGCAAAAATGTCGTGAGGGCGGTACAAGTGCAATCTCACCTGCATGATCCTGCCGGGGATGTAGTGTGCAACCGAGATGGCTTCTCGTGAGATCAGGGCTGCACGAACCATCACGAGAACTGAAGCATACCGATCGGCCCCATGTAACACATGCCATTGAGGGGTACTCCATTCACTTATCATTCCCCATCCCGTTTCCTGAGCGATAATGATGTCATATGGTAATCGATCACACCAGGCAAGCCGGCTTGGATAGTGCAGCGATCTTGAAGCATTCCATTATAGCACTTGAAGATGGCCTGATGCGGGAGGGGTCGGATTGGATACCCGAGGGCAGGGATCTGTCGACGACGCTATGCCCATAGCTGGCGTATTCGAAAGGGCACCTGTGCTGGATACAAGGCCTTATTGCGATATATAGCTAGTCCATAATCCAAGGATCGAAAACATGCTCGAGTATACGATCGTTTTAATCGGTTGCACCGATTCCGAGACTAGACGAGGCCTAAGCCAGCTGTTGCCCATGCCTCGGGCTCGCCCGAAATGGTGGAATATCATGGACATAAATCGGGCTCTTGCGCTCTCCTGAGGCGGGAGAAGCAACCCTCACGGCGGGAAAAACAACCCTCACGCCCGGGATGGTCGGTGCAAGCATAAAAGGCTCATCTCGGTCCATCCCGCCTAGACTTGGGACCAAGCTTTGCAAATCTATGAAGTTCAAAAGGATGAGGAGCGAAAAAGTGGGGCTACGCATGCTACGGACACTCGAAAGCAACGCATAACACGAAAAGTGGAAAAAAAGAAAGCCACGACCGACGCTCCCTTTCTTGATCTGCAAATAGCGCTTAACCATATATATATTAAATCTTTAATTATATATTAATATTCCTTTAAATCCAATAATATATTAATAAATACATATAATTCAAAGAATTATCAATCTATCAATTCTTAAATATATATTCCAAATACATAAATTTCCATAATTCCATCAATATCTCACATTACACCATATATACACCATCTCATAAGATCTATAACACTATAACAATATTTACAATATGTTGCTATTATACATTTAGTGTAATTGCAATATTACACAGTGTTCATCTTTGTTGTCTTATTCTTCCTGCTTTTGAGGTCTATATCATCTGTCCCAAGTCTTTCCGCAGCATCAACGCCGATTCTACTGAAACACTTGACCTTTGACTCCTGTCATCAGTCCCAAGTCACACGGCGAACATGTGTAAACAACGCCCAATAAACCACAGATTCAGAATCTTACAGAAACACTGTTAAACTTGGAATTGAAAAAATAAGTCCTTTTTCCATGTCCAATTTGCACATGCCTAGGTTATTAGACTTGGTTTTGAAAAAGCCTTGCTTGAAACTGGCTGGAGCCATGCTAGCCATGTCATTCAGTGGGCCTCCACGGCGATGCCCCGCTTTCCTGGCAGTTCATTCTGCCAATTTCAATGTGGGATACTACAGATTTCATGATATTGCATGCTCGATGATCTTTTCTTTATATCATGGCTCAGTTTCAAAGCTTAGCAACTCCTCTTTGGACAGTGAATCGCCAGCTGTCGGAAAAGAACTTGATCCAAGCAACTCGTGTATTATAGTACAAATCATTTCTGTATATGGCTTACTTTTTAATGGATTCGCAAACAAATCCATCAAGAGGCGGGCACAACACTGTTTTTTAGATCTTCCACCAAAACACGCGAAAGGATACCTGAACCCTGTTCACGTGGCATGACCACCAATCCCCCCATGTGGCCCACCTGAGTCTGGTCATCTCTTGCGCAACCGCCGCTCCCAATCCTCCAGGTAATGTCGCACCTCGAGCCTGAGGTGCTGGACATGCTGCGGGAAGTGGTGGAAAGCGAAAGTACTTTAACATGGTGGAAAGGCATTGAGGGCTTGCGCAGTTGTTTGCACGGGGATTTTTGACTTACAGTGCATTAGGTTTCTTCAAGTAATTGGATTGCGCCAAGCAAATGGGGTTGCGAGAAATGTTGACATTGACACCTAATTGGTCTAATATGAGCGCATGCCAAAACCTCTGTGTACAGCACAAGTTTTCCGGGTATAACTTTGGTAGTTCCCTATACTGCTTTGCAATGTCCCGATTCATCTTTCTCTTGAAAGCACAACGGAAGTGAACTACAGCTGGATATGGGTTGAGAGAGAGAGAGAGGGCTCCGTCACCTAGACAACATTCTGATAAACTTTGGGTACTGCCATATGAAAAAGGATTGCGGCAAAGCAAGTTTAATCACTTGATCGGTGGACCTGTTCAGATATCGCCGTTGGTTGTGCACAAATTGTGGGTTTACATGGTCCGATCATGATTTCTCACAGGCCGCTGTTGAATGTTACTCATAGATAAAAAATGCAAGTAATGCAACACTGCACATTTAGGACCTTCTGCATCTGATTTGTATCACGTGGCCAATGTGTTGCAATTCCAAGCTCGATCAATCCATTCCAATAATAACACAAGTGTGATCTACCCATTGACAACTTGGCCAAGTGTTTCACAAGGTAGGAAGGACTGGATTTAACCCGCGCACTGACTCCACCTCAGCCACCGAAACGCACACCTTTTCTTTCAGCCACTCTGGCTGTGCTTCCCAGCAAAGCTCGCCCTCCCCCGGAGTCTTGCTGGGCTCCAAATTCTGGAAGGACAGTTCTGCCACCTTCATGCTTTTGATCAAAGGTAGCACCTCCTGCTCGTTCACCTCTCTCAGCTCTTTCCTTCCAGTGCAAATTCTGGCAAGAGGCCGCAACCTTCTCTACCCTTTAACCAGGTAGTCTTACTGCAACTACATGCGCCACCTGCTAGTGGAGGCTCAACCAGCAGTCCCACATTTTCCATGAGCGGCCAGTCATAGACCCTCGTAATCATCTGCGGCCTCTTTCGAGGGCTTCCAGGCCCGTGCTCCCTGCAACTCCTGGGCGCGGTTCGTCGCGTGGTGGGCTGTGCAAAGTAAGCAACACTTGTGGCCGAAACAGCAAAGAGCAGTTTGCTAGGGGTTGTTCCGCCAGTTCTGGTCCATCCGAACACATTAAAGTTCAATATAGTTTAATCCTGCTGATCAAAAGAGAACCGACCAACTTGACAGTAATTCCACCCGGTCACACGGACCTAGTTGGATTCACTATGACTGAACTGTGCCAGCAATGATGTCGAGGAACCAGTAAAACGCAACAAGACTCCACACTGAGGAGAGGCAACATCCCGAGACCTAGAGCCTTGAAGCTGTCACAGCAGGATTTCAAACTCTGTATTCGCCTCTCGAGCGCGTCAATGTGCTCACACAAATGGAAAGCCCCACCAACTCAGCTGAGACTCTGGGATGTGGATGGAGTTCAGGAACGGAAGCCTGGAATCAGCACACGTCGATCCAACAAAAAAATTATCTGTGGTAAATTAACACATATATATATATATACACATATCATCCTAATAGCGCTGGCCTCCAACCTAGAATTTGGCATTGAAATCCATGCCGTGCATACCCATTCAATTATTCTATATACTTGGACTTGGATGCCAAGGTGCCTTGGTGATCTTGGTGACTGGGAAACTTGTTGGCTTCAAACATTCTGGGTGAATCTGATGTGTTCGCCCAACTCACTGTTGTCCCTCACCGTCCAAACCTCAAGTCTCTTGATGGTGAGCGAGCTACAGTATCTTCAATATGGAGACATATCTGACATTATACCGAGCCCACCCTCAGCGACTGTGCAATGGCCATGCCCCGTAAATACTGTGACTGGCGATGGTTGCCGCTACCCGCCGGGCGAGGCATGGTCTGGGCCTTTCTTTCGAGAAAACCAGACTGTCTGGGCCCAAGTGACTCCTCCCCTCGCGGCAGCAACAGCTCTCGCTCCATGGGTGCGCGCCGGCGCAACTTCCGCAACGACACCTGTGACCGGCGCGGAAGTTGAGCTGTGAGAGTGCATTGGGGAACTGATCTGCAGGGAGTCTGTCCACACTGAAAAGAAGTGGGATTTGTATGGATTTGTATGATAAAAAGATAAACATTGTGGAGTCATGTGCATTCACTCTTGTATCTAAAGTGTTTGGCCATTGATTTTGCACTTATATCTGTGATTTTTGTGGTAGACCTGAGCAGAGGCAACATCGTAGCCAATTTGCCGTTCTTTTGACCGAGGAACACCCCAAAAGTCTTTAGCTGGTTGGCAGATCCGTGCATTGTGGTGGCAAATCCCCCCAGAGCGACTTGTGTCTGCGACCTTTGTGACAGGACTTTCTTCCACAACGGAGGTAATCCGGATGCGATTCTTTTGCAAGCGCCCGTAATGACGTAATGTGTGCCAAGTGGGTCAAGGTGCTTTAGCAAGACCCACAACTCCGTGTCAGGTCCACATTGCAGTTTAAAGGGTCGTCAACAAGGACGCTACTAGGGGCTCCTGGCATCGCTACTAGGAGCAAGGACGCTAAACCTTCAGAATCTTCAGAGTTGCCCAAATAGGACTTGGGATTGGCTGGTGAGACGATCTGGGGGCCATGCTGCATACCCTGTCACACGGGCATCATCTACCTGCCCAATCCCCAACAGGTGGGGCACCTGCTTCCAGGTATCTGCGCCACAGCGTGCGCAACCTTTGGGGAGCTGCCGGCCCAAGACCTCCTGACCACGTTCAGCGTCAAACGGTTTGGTGGTCGTGACCGTTTGATGAACACTGCGACCCAACACACCACCAGGCAGGAACTCCGGCCAGGATTCTACCTCATCCAAAGGTCACGAGAGACAAACACGTGAATATACATGAATGACTACAGGACGCTACTAGGGGCTCCTGGCCGTACTACTAGGAGCAATGTTTGCTATTAGAAACAAGAAATAGATAGAATTAGAATTGAAATTCAATTAAAGGCAGGAGAGGTCCCACCCAGTTGGTGACTGTGCTGTTGAGCAAAACAACAATGGTGCACAGCTAGCGGTCGAATGCTGCACCGTGCTTCACTATAAAATCACAACTGCAACCGCTGCTGCACCTTGCCGTTCACGCCCTGAAACTCCGCGAGCCACTCTACCAGTGAAACTCTGTTCCGTGCCCATGTTCAACAGCTTTAGCCCATTCTTGTCAATCTTGCCAGACCCGAGAATGGTCACAATGGGCCACACCACGTGAATCAGGTCTTTCCATGTTCTTTCAGCGCCGTGACGGACGGATCCCGCTCCCGGCCTCGCTGGCCCGGCAGCTGCGGCACTCCCAACGGGTCTTGGTGGCCTCCACGGAGATCAACTCGTGACCTTGTTCCTGGGCGGTGCGGAGCTCACAGCGTTCGGAGGGCATAACAAAGCCTCCAAATGGATCCAAATGGATCCAATAGAGAAACATGTCGATATGACAAATCATGACAGCAACAAACGACCCATCGCCATCTAACAATGAAATCCTTAGAAGCCTTACAAGCGGTGGTCACCTTTTTGCTACCTATCCCTACCTTGGGTTCGTGTCTGTTCCAGGGGCCTCGCCTGGCACCACAGACGCTGCCGGGAGCCTTGGTCGAAGGTGATGTAGCAGCTCCTTGGCAAAAAGGAGACGAGAGGTCCCGAGGTGAAGTAAAAGAGGAACGGAAAAACAAACAGGAATGGACAAACTTTAACCTGTAAGAACTGGTCAACGTCAAATGGTAAACATCTGCAGCGATGTTTAAAGACGCCCTGGTTTTCTTCTGGATTGTTAGCTGCATTATTTTACAGCCAAAACATACAATCCCTACCAAGCTGGAGGTCTTGATTGTGGCTCCCTTTTCAACCGGGTGGTACAACATAGACATAAAGTTTGTTGGTGCACCTGTTGTGCTCTCCCCTTGAGCTTTCTTCATCTTTCTTCCACAGCACGTTTACAACAAAGCCGAGTCCCAGAAGCTCCAATCTTTTGGTGTGAGATGGATTACCGATGCCAAACGATCTTTTGGTGCGACTTGTTCTGGCGCAACAAGAGAGGTCCCCTCTTGTTTGGAGCTCTATGTTTGTGTGGCCAGTGGATTATTGAACGGAGAGGGAACTGAACTGACGACCTAAACGACACCGTATCATGAAACATTTTGATAAATTTGGGTTCACCAGATTCAAATGTCGATGACTCATGACCGTTCTATAGTCTATAGTGCCCTGGCCAAAAAGATATCCCACATGCGACCAAGTTTCTTGCAGCGGAACGCTTTCACCTAGAAGAGCATAGTCAATGCAATCGTATGAAGCTCCCATCGCAAGGCACACTTAACACTTCTCACATCGTTCGGGCGGCCCAAACTTGGAAACATCCTTTTCACTGAATGTGAACTGGCAAGACTTCACACTTCCCGCTTTCTAGACTCTTTGAGTCTTTTGGTTTATGGCCTGAGAGTTTCTCCACACTTGCGCCATGTGTCGCCCCAGCGGATCAATCTGGCCTTCATGCTCTTTAACTCCTCCATCTGCTCCTGTGCAAAGTCCAGTTGCTCCAGTTCGCACAGCCGTCGCATCCGCTTCGCTGCGCGTTCCTCCTCCACTGCCTCGAACGTCTGAGACGCAAAGACGGAGCCCTGGTGCCAATGAGCGTTGATGTTTTTACTCTGCAGGGGTGCTGGTAAGCTTTTTCTTTTGAGCCTTCGAACTCCACTTCGTGGGCTGTCCGGTATTCACTGATTACTTCGGAGAAGAATCTCCAACACCATCACATATGTTCACACATATTCACAAGATCTCACAAAATGCAGGAGAATCTTCACAAGCCCCTCTATATAGTGTGTGAGAATTTGGCAACCATCTCACATCCACAGCTGAACAATCAGTGGTGATTGGGGGCAAAGTTTCTCTGTCAAGTCTTTGGTTCTTGTGAACCTACTGCCTGAACATGTAAAAACAACACGTGCAAAAATAAAGGAAACAACAACATACCCATGACATGGGCATCACCCACTCCTCTATGCTCCCATTTGGGGCACAACACCAAACAAAAGGGGTGCCCCCTAAACAGCACTCTCCAAGAATCCCAGTTGCTTGGTGGAATCCAATCCCAACAGAACCCATTTCACTCTCTTCCCAAAAGAACCGAGCAGCGCTTTGGAAGCGCGAGCTCTGCTGCCGCACCAGGTCCTTCCGTGGGTCGCTGCCCGCGGAGAGGAAGGTGGCCGCCTTGCGCCCCAATGCACCTGGGGGTGAGTAGCGTTCTTGTTCCTAGTAGTAAGGCCAGGAGCCCCTACTGGTGTCCTTGCTCCTAGTAGCGATGCCTACTAGCTTCTTGCTACTAGTAGCGATGCCAGCAGCCCCTAGTAGCAAACCTCTGGTGGCCCACGACGGGTGCCGAATCATTGGGTGAACATGCCCGCCGTCTGACGGCCCCGTATGTGAAGTGCAGCCGTTTTATAATCATTTTCTTAGTGTCAAGATGTATCAATGTATCAACCAAACAACTTGTAGATCACAAACTCTGTATCCACCTGGTAGTGTACGTCTATGTGAATGATCCAGCTCATATACCACACCTGCCAAAATGGCATAGCTTCAGTTCAGTAGATTGTTAGGAAACAGCTTAAAGTTTCACTTGCGGCTCTGCTGTGCCATTTTTTGCACGTTTGTTCTGTTTCAATGGAAATGATATGCCATGATAATGTATCTTGGCAAGGTAATCCAAGAAATTGTGTCAAACAGGCTCCAAAGGATTTGCACAAGAGCTATATAGCTGATATTGAGTTCCCCTATCCACCCAGCCAGGTTCTGTTGGAGATACAACACATGCCTTCATGTGGTTCGAACATCATCCATCCCAGGACCGTATATATGTACTCAAAAAGGCGCCGTTCTATGATGCTTCGTCTCTTGGTGTGTGGCATTTCTTGGCACGAACACATTGGTGCCGTTCTCTTAGTGAAGCACTTGAGTATGACAATGAACATGTTGAGCAAATCCTTCAAATCGGTTCATGGATGTGCGTGCAATCCGCTGCGCCTGCAGATTGCATGGGACTTCCCATGACATGTTTAACACAACTCGAGTTGAAACTACACTCTCCCAAACTAACATGGCCTTTATAAGCCTATACATCGGCCCAACCTGGTTGAAGAAAACATTCATCTTTCAATCCTTTCGAGTTTGGGAGGGTCTATGACTGTTATGAGACTTGCGAGAGCCTAGGGTTGTGTGCTGTCAGACTCGATCGAAGCGTTCGTTTTTCTCTTCTGCAGGGGGAAGCTGCTGAATCCGCTATAAGAAAACACCAAGTATATCGACGCACGCTCAGGGGATGTTCAATAGTCGTGGTCGTCCAATGGCATTCACAGTGTCAGGTGGCTCTCCAGCTTCTGGAAACTTGCCCCGCTCGTGGTCTTGGTCTTGGGAAGACCATCACCAGTGTCGCTGGTCCTGACGTGGTCAGGATCAATCTCACATGTTCTAGTTAGAAAGGCGGACGGGAGATCCATTCTCACCTGGGACTTTGGTAGGGGTATGGATGCCCCACTGGAAGACTACTCTCCTCTGCAAACAGGGGGCTTCTCACTTCCACAATTGTTGGACATAGAGGATACAGTAGGTCATGGTCGTGATGGAAAGTTGGTAAGAGGAACACCATCTTTGGGCCAAAACAATTGATGTGAACATCGATGTGAAAAGGATCCGTGAGACACAGCCTACGCGGTAGAGAATTGCCACGTGCGCCTCGCATATCAAACGATATCCGATATCAAACGATACAGTATTATTATACAGCAGTTTGCTTGGAAGGGATGCCGCTTTGGATCTTTTTGGATTTCCTAGTTGTCGACACGACAAGCTGCCACCCATGGGCAAGTTCACGGACCAAAACCTGCGAGCGAACCCGGTTTTTCTCTCGACGAGCAACACCCACCTGGTGCCACATGATTATGTAATCATGATTAATCATATCAATATAACTTAACTATATTTAACTATTCATTTGCTCTGGGTTAGATTTTCATGGGTTTTCTCCCCATTCTGCAGCCGAAGTGGCGTCCCTCTCCGCTTCTGCCGCGGCGCGGCACCACGCGAGGTGCTCTCAGCTTTCGCCAGCGGGGTCGGAGTGTGGTGCACCGTGGCCGGAGGCCGAGCTCCAACTCGGTGCGAGGCTTCGTGCGGATCACGCACGAAGCCTCGATTCGGACCCTCGTACACCTGATTCCAAAAAGGTATTATCTCTCTCTCTCTCCAGGTGATCAGCGTATACCAGCCTTGACGAAACACGAACACAACGACTTTGGTTTCAGTGGATCAGCGAGCGAAGTGATTGACTTGGGACAGCGAATCCTATGAATGGGATCTCCTGCGACAGTATTTGGATGGGGTGCTAAACTGCCAAAGCTTCCCAAAGTCCGTCCCACCGATATTGTGATTCTGCGACTGCTTGGATATTTCTTGGCCACGAAATGACCAACATCACAGAAAGGTGCTCCTTGAAATGCACGGAGAGGTGCTCCTTAAAGCTGAGCAACGCAAAGTACATATAACTTACAACTACGTCATACAGTGGGAAAGAACAATTTGGGACATGGGAACCATCTCACCTCTGCTGAAGCCATTCTTTTCCCAAACCCAAGCATTCAGGAGAACCACTTTGATAATCCAAGGTTATTGATGCATCCGATTTGATCCAAACCCGTTGGTTAGAGACGTGGTCCGGCACTCAAACAAACAGAAGTGGTCATACACTCGCTTTCTTGAATCGGAGGAACATATCGGACACAACCCCAGAAGTGAGCAGGGCTTCGATTCGATGTAATGCGTCCACTCCTTGCCAGCGAGGCTCCGTGTGAAGCCTTCAGCGCCTCCAGGTGAAGTCGTGACTCCATAGGCCTGTTGGGGTCCACCATCGGCAAACCCTCTGGAAACATGGCCTCAGAGTGTGTCACGCAAAGGAAAGAGGCTGCCGCCTGTTTGAGTTCGGCGAACGTCCGCCCTTGGGTGCGTCCTAAGAAGCTGTGGTCCTCTTTCAGTCCCCTGGAACAAAGAAATAGGATCAAATAGGACAACAAATGGACACAATCACTACTGTTGTATCCGAAGTACATCAAACGACACTCTTTCATTGATGCAGCTGGAGGAGGAGGTTCCGTTACAGAAAGCAGGGGAGAGCCGTCGCTCGGCTCCGAAGGAGGAGACATGGGTGAGTTGCTAGCTGCTGGCGCCTCGGCCGCGCCTTTTTGCGGCGACTTGCCCAGGGTTTTGTCCAAAGAAGTCCACTGTGACGAGGAAACATCCGAAAACACAAGAAAAGAGTGCACTTTTCGGGACCCTACACTAATTGATTCACTCGAATCGGCGGTTGTCCCCCCTTGGAAATGTCCTCAGAAAACCACCAAAGAAGAGACCAAAACCCAACACGATGTGGCTCATTTTTACATCAAGAATCGCCAAAACCACGACAAACCTTGAATCAGTTTCTTCCGGATTCCTGCAGTCTCAGGTCAAACAATTAGAGTCTCAGTGGACACATTTGCAGAATTGAAGAGAAAAACATTTGAGACACGGAAGAGACATGAAGAAACAAAGGGCTGGTGCCCTAGTTACCATTAGAAACAACATGTCATCTTCATATCCCTCCTTCCACCTTTGCTTATTTACTGTATAGACATCCCTGCCCGCATTTTTGCATGCTACGCTTCATTAATGCCAAATCCACATCCTGCCAACCACCTGCAAACAATGACATTCAAACACATTCAACAACACTCTCGTTCCAGGGTGCAAGTATCTTCTTCTCTGCCGCTGAAAGGACCTGCTGAGCTTGCTGAGCCCCTTCGGGCAGCACAGCTGGAGTGTCGTCTTCTCTGCCGCCCCGAATGGTCGGAGGGGCAAGGACCTGAGGCTGATTTTGCGGGTGTTGCCCGGCTTCTTCACTGAGAAACCAGTTCTAAAATGAACCTTGGATACCCAAAGGCACTTGGATGCTGGAAGGCCCACATAGGACCATCCTATGAATTGAACTGTTATATATAACGCATTATATAGTAGTAACAATTCGTCTGAGATGTCGGTGAAGTAAACAAAACAATTCACGGTCCATCAGCTGCTCCACAGTCCATGTTCAATTGCTTCCATTAAAACGTTGGATTTTCTTCTCGGGTCGATGATCCGCTTTGTGCAGCTGCTGGTGTCAGCTCCCTGGTGTCTCTGCATGCGACCTACCATCGAATGATTTCGGGCATTGACGACTATACCTCAGCCACATCAACTTTGCCTTGCCCATAAACCACCCGGTAGGAGGGGTGATGAGCTTTATTGAAAGAGTCCAGAATCTCCAGAACCTCCTAAGACCACGGTCCCGTGAGTTCAAAAGCGTCGTATACTCGACACCGTCGAATCAATCGCCACCGTGACATGGGCGCGGTTCTTGGCTTGGCCGCAAGCCATTGCAATTGTATAGAAATCAACATGTAGACCAGCTGTCGTGCGGTTCTTGAATATCCCACTCTGTCACCTAGGCCCTAGCTTATCCTAGAACTGGGTCAGTCACTCAGTGCCCAGTTCCCCTGTATATTGGCGTGCATGTCGCTAGCGGGGCGTACACACAACAAGCACTTTGTCTGTGCCTTCCGTTGATTCCTCCACATCTCGCAATTCAACCTTTAATATCTCTTAACCATATCACGAAATTGGAGGCCATCGCTATTAGGTTGGAGTCGAAGGCCATCGCTACTAGAGTGGAGGCCATGGCTACTAGGGGGCCATCGATCATCGGGTTGGAGCCTTAAAAACTCCACATGACTCTTCCATCGAACTAAGGCACTGGGGAGCCCGCAGGTCTGGCCGTGGGTTTTGTTGCGCTCGGTGCGCCTGCAGAGTTCGCCTTGAATGTGCCAGTGGTCTTTCCCTCGCGTGTTGGCGGCCTGCGAGTCGAAGGATCCAGCCACGTCAGGTTCAGCATGTTGGCCTTAAGATGCCTTAAGTAGTAAACTATTCCAACGAAAACGCTATGCAGCATGCATTGAATATAGTTGCGGACATGTGCTTCATCGGTGGCCACCCCTTTTCATGGACAGCTGAACCGTCTGCAGATTCGCAGCCCCACGAAGCTTTGATGCTTTGTGGCAAATGAGGCGAGCACCACTTGGAATGAACCAATCACATCAACACATTTACAGTATAGACTTAAATTATGGGGGACGGTTGGGTTCTGACCGGGCACAGCAAAATGTCTACCCGGAACCCGGAACTATTTCCTGTAAAACTCCCGAAAACATCACCAATGGAATTCCCTCTCCCACATTGCAAATATTCCAATGTGTTCCAAGAGCTAGCCTTTCAAACAAATGTTGCATCCAGTGGTTGATGAGGATGCCGATTAAGAATGAGTTGTCCAAAAATTATGGCAGCACTACTTGATTTTTCTTCGCTACAAAGCCAGAATCCGTAAAGGGTGGCAGGGCATGCTTGCCTTTTTTGCTGTGGATAGTTTCAAGTTCTAATTCTACGTTCTTATGTTTAGGGATGAACATATTGTTCGGATTTCTTCTGTTCATCATGATCGAACCCCAGACCAATTAAGATACCCATCAGCCTGTTGCACGGTTGCCAATGAAGATCTTGACTCCCCTGCCTGTTTCTAGGAAAGTGGGTCTTCCTTCCTTGAGCTTCAGCTAGCACTTCGAGTTGTATTTCTGCCACCCCAGGTGTTCGGAAGGTTTGCTGTGGCGAAACCGACTTCAGCCGATGTCCCTGTATGTCCAATGTCCTGTGTTACAGTGGAATACTTAAACACATTTCTCCCGCTACCGATTTCCTGGTGTCGAAAACTACCACTCGTTACCGAAGAAGTCTATAGAGTATATATTATAGTTACTGTGTCTGCACTGAAAGTATCTTTCAGCTCTGATTTCATGTCGATGTTCGACCAGAAGTGAAGAGTGCTGTCTTCGGTGGGTCGTTATAGCTCCTCGAAGCATCAGCGGTTGGACTCAACTTGCCTTTGAAACATCCTGCCGCTGGATTCATGAGTGGCTTGAGCTGTTCCATTTCGTTTCTCTGGTGACAATGGCTTGGCATGCTGAGGGCCTCTTAGACTTGATTGAAGTCGCGGTCCCTAATGACAATGGCTCGTCTGCTTTCGACTATCATATTAGATAAACACCGTCTGACTTCAGCAAGCTGAGATTTACCTCCTTGCTGTCTTTTACATTTCTTTTAATATCTGAATTTCTGAACATCAGGATCGTGTCATGACCCACCCGATGCCCGACGTATGTCAAGGGGTTCCTTAGTGCGGCTGGGAGCCCTGCACTTTGGAGGAACATCATGTTCGAAAAAGGGCCTTTGTCAAATGGCTTCACGCCATTCCCTCTTCGGCCTCACGCCAAAGGGAGTTCGTTTGCTTCCACAAGTGAACATGCCCAACCCGGTGGTTGCATGGTCGCTCTGATTTTCCGGCGCCTTGGCAGTGCCCCAAGCAGCCGGACCATTGCGGGGTCAGCACGATCACCGATCGTGGCGCGATGGCTCATCGTGGCACCTGCGGTTTAAGGCTCGTTGAGGGCGGGGCCTCCTGAGGGCTTTTTGACACACCCAACGAAAAGAACAATCTTCGTCCGAAAGAAAAACACATAATACAACTTATATATAGGCACATATAGACACTGTGTCCCTCAAACATCTTCAAACCATCCCAT